GGTGCGCTGGCTTCCCCCCTCGCCTGGCGGAAGGTTGCTCCTAGTGCCTTGAGGCCGGGATTGTGGGGGGACAGCAGGAGGAAAGGGCTGTCGGTCTCCTACAGTCCCTGTGCCTTTCGAAGCCCCTCTGCTTGGTGTGAGAGGTTTGGCCCAGGGCTTTTTTGCAGTGACAATGCCTTCAGTACCTGTTTGCCTCCAAGAGAAAGACAATGTAAAGAGTTAAACATTGGGATGGTGGGGAAGAAATGCTATGATAGCAGGTATCTGAGAGGTAGAGCTGCTATCTAGAGATAGAAGCACCTCAGTGCATGCCCCACTCGTTGTTTGTCCTATGCACGCTGTCCTGTGACTAGCAACAGACTTAGACTTTTTGGATCGATAAAGGGAAATATACTTCAGATAAAGTAGACTCTGCTAGGAACACTACTGACAGTCCCAAGACTCAAGGTAAGGTCTCATGAACAAAAGCCTGTTAGTCATGGGAATGTCTAGCAAAACTTGATTTTTCAAGTGCAACCAAAATGCAAACTACACTGACTTAAAACACGGACAGAATGCTGTTCCTTGTGTGTTCTGCTATTAATTAAAAAAAATGCAAGTCCATACCGAAGTCATACTGACTTGAGTATGATGCTGGAAGAACAATATGCTTGTCTCTGCCAGCTGTACTGTGTATTTATTTGGGTGAGGCAGCAGAGCGCAGAATAAACCCTGTCCTTTTGTGTTTGCCTGCTTCTGTTTATAAGGAAATTGGTCAGCGTTGTAGAATGCTTTCCTGATCTAAGCTCAGAAGTAAATATGAAGTGCAAGCTTCCGGGTAACCCTGTCACAAGTGTCTGAGGCTAATGGAGAAGACAGCTACCACCTTGCGTGCTGACTGTTGGCTTTGGAACAGTATTTAAAACTATGTTATGTTTGATCCTAGGATTCACTATAAGAGTCATAAAATTGTAGTGAGATCTGTAAGTGAAATCTTTATGTTGGAAAAAGTAAGTTCTGTGGTTATATTGCTAATGGAGAAGAAATGGAGGAATAAGAATGTGCTGTGTCCCTAAATCATTGGCAGAAGTGACTTACTCCCTTTTTTTATGGAGAAAAGCATCTCCAAAATATCCAGGTGCTTCTGCCAAACAAATTGCTTGTTTCATCTGGGTTCAGTCTTGGACAAGTGACCTTGCTGCAGATCAAGCTGCGTTTGGGTTGGGGGTGAGGGGAGGTTTCAGTACTTCTTGATCTGATAAGTGGCCTAAAGTGGTGTGTCATCTATGCATTTTTGGCACAAGTTTCCGGGTGGTTTATTTTTTCCTGCTATCTCCTGTCAACCCAAAGATCTTTTGTTTGACCAATAAATAAACCAGCTGCAGTCCCAAATGAGAATATCATTTAGATGAAATAACAACTAGATGTGTTCTGTATGTGACTTTGGACAAATCACTGGATTTTTCCTCCTTCAGCTCTTTTTGTAAAATGGAATTTCAAGGGAGTATCTTCTCCTTCATTTGTCTGTCATGTGTCTCTTGGACTGTGAAATCTTACTGCAAAGCGTATCTTTTCCATTCAGTTTGTGTAGTGCTACAAAGGTCTTGATCTTAATTGAAATCTCTAAACTTATTCTTTTATTTCGTATTTAGGGAGATCAAAATATAACTATTGTGAAAATTAGACTCGCACAAGAACATGATTGTTTGTCTTCCTTTAACAGTGAGTTCAAAAGACCAGAATCTATAAAAGACTTGAGTTCAGGTTATTAAAGTCCGTGTCTGTGCAAGTAAGTGCTGGCAAGCCTAAGCTCCTCTCAGCCTAGCAATGCATATTTGAGTTCAGGATTAGGTTAATGAAGCCAGCCAGCCTGGACAAAGGCCGGGGAATCTTAGGTTTCTCCACGTAATTCATATACACCTGCCTGAAATTGCAGTGCCTGTAGCATGCAGATATGTGCTGAGTCCCGTGATATTTTTTGGTTACACTGGATGTCGGCAGATAGCTAGATTCTGCTTTTTCCCATATTGCTAACATGTTTTCTTATGTCATATTACCATGTTGTCTCATGTCACCTCTAAACCTTCTGTTGTGTTTGTACCTTTGAGAAGCTGTGGCCTAATGCGTGATAGGAAGATCAGATGCATCCTGGTCAAATATTGGTGACAGGCAGAAAGAGGCATTTTTGGTTTTTGTCTAATTGGTTTCTAAAATGTGCTTTTACCACTGCCAAGGCAGCAGGGCCTGATCTTCACTAGAGCATTGTTGGAGGGTGGTTTACAAAAGTATAAACACTTTATTTTTCTTATAATGAAGCGATGATTCCAGGTCTTGAAATCAATCTTTTAGTATTACCAAAGTGATGAATAGTTAATGATGGAACAAGAAATTTCTCTAGTCATTGAAAAGCCTATATTACTTGAGTTCTGTGCCTCAGGCTGACCCAGGGTCAGCTGAAAACTAAAGATAAGTACTAGTACTTTTTCACTGTTTATTATATGATGTAGAACATGCACAGTCTGAGCTTTGTGACAATGTGCTTCTCCAGTAGCTTTATCCTGTAGAACTCTTTGTAAGAGAGACTGTCTGAGGCCTGGCTTCTTGCCTCATGTTTCCTCACTTCACTAACTGCTTCACAAGTGTTTTATTCTGTAGGCTGCAGAGACCAAGAGTTCCTGCATATATCAAGAGAAATCAGGGCATGTCCCTGCAAGAACAGGAGAAATCAGACTTCCTGAACGTGAAAGGCTTTTCACTTCGAGACGGATTGTAACCATCCCGGAGAGTGCTGTGTAGGATGGAGAATGGTTTTATTCCTCCTTTCCTGTTGCGTAAATTGTTTCCCTCTTTTTTTTT